TATATATATATTCAACAGAGTCTTTCACACCGTGCTATTAAATTCACACAGTCACTATTAACTGTTGTCTAAAATAGCCATTTAATAAACACTGGTTAGGATTTTTTTGTTATGAATTATAAACAAATATTTGTCACTTCTTTGTTGTTTTTCTTCTGGTGTAAGCCAGAATTTGCGATTTTAACTTATGTAATACTTCTGCTGTTACTGCTACAAAACATGGTTTTCCAAGCACTGGAAACTGTGCAGTTCAGGAAAGCTGTGTCATGCCTTCATTGTCCCTCCATATATTATTCATCTTAATACAGCTAAGCCGTAAAATGGTGTATGTGAAGAGTCACCAGTACAACATGGTCTCTCCCATCCATTCTGTTGGTAGAAGAGAAATGGAACGCATTGTACTTTTGCCTCCATAATGCAGTACTTATCACAAGTTGATCCTCAGACTGAGAAGAAATATAATTGGTTTAATGCACAAGAGCTAACCACTAATGCAACGCTTCTAGTGGTGTCACTTGCTAACTACTCTTCCTCTTTCTGCCACTCTCCCTTAAACTCACTTCTATCTCTCAATCATTAGGAATCATCATGACAGCAGTGGCAGATTTGGATCGTGAGACACAGGATCGTTACGAGTTGGTCGTCAAGGCAACAGACATGGCAGGACAAATGGGTGGTCTCTCTGGCTCCACCACAGTGACCATAGTGATCACGGACGTTAATGACAACCCACCACGCTTTCCACAGAGTGAGTGTATCCTGTGCATTCTCCCACTTTAGAAAAAAAAAAGATAATGAGACAGAGATAGAGAGAAGCTAATGACTGGCAATGTGGGTGAAGAAAATGAAAGCCAAGGCACAAATTACAACAACATACAAGAAAATTGTATACAACCTAAAAGCCACTAAAAATATGCAGTAGAATAGACGGCCTGCATCCTGCCATACATTAAAAATAGCTCTATATATTGATAGACTGTACATTGTAATGTTATGGACGGGTTCTTTTTCAGCTGAATGTCTTTGATGCTCAATTTACTCAACAAAATATATTTAAAAAGTAAAGTTTAATGTGGCTAAAAATATTTTCTCTCTCTTAAACACAAAAACACACTTAATTCAGTTGAGTAATAGTCTTCTTTAGAGCAAACCAAAATGTCTATACAGCATACATTGGTCTTTAAAATAAATGTACCAATGTGCAAATAATTGGTATATTGTAACAGTCCTAACTGACGTATGATTGCATGTCTGAGTAAAGTAGTGCATTCCCTTCTTGTCTTTTTTTTCTTTCTTTCTTCATTCTGCTTCTTTGGAGTTAAACTAATGCTGTAACCCACAACAGTATTACTTTTGTAAAAGCTACAGATGCAGTATCTGACAGTCTGTTTGATTGTATTTGATATGTCTCCACACACCTTTTTCTTATTCCTCTTTTTTTTCATCTCAGTAAATCATATTTACCCAGTCAGGGGGATAAACCCTGTAGGATTAAAGTTCCTCGACTCTACAATATAGTGAAGAAATAGAATCTGAATGCAGCTTCATAAATAAGGAGGATGAGATATGATATGTATATGAGATATATGACACATATATTTTGGCGAATAACTTTTTGGGTTTTTTTTTGTTTTTTTATTCTTGCAGTATTTTACAATAATCTGTGATAGATCTCATTCATTTTGGTCTAGTCTTTAGAGTCACAGCTGACAATGTGAGTATGGTGACAAGTTTTTATTCTTAGTTAAAAGATGGTTTAAATTGCAGATTATATGATATTGGTCAAATGATATGATGTAACACTAGGGTTAATTCTAATAGGTAGAGGGCTAGGGCTAGTGGAACTGTTAATATAGCGCTATGCTTTCATAGCAAATGTGAGAATAATAATGTTAATGTATGTGAATGCTCACTAATAACTGCTACCTTTTTCAGTCCTTTCCTTTATAACTTTTCATTGGCACTCTAACTCCTGTTAGCCATTTCTTCCCTTCTTTAACAGTGCTTTACTTTATCTTTAATGATATCTCATCTACTTCCTCTTCCCACTTTTCTCTGTCTATTTCCTATCCATCTCTTCAGCGATTTTCTTCCCTCAGCCCTTTTCTACCTATGGCTATCCATCTATCTTTCCCTATCTTTCCTCCACTAGTGTTATTCTCATTTCTGTGTTACTTTCGGATCTCTTCTTTCTTTTGTGTTGTTTTGTACACCAAAAATCTGGATCTTGGTTTAACTGCCTCTATATTTTCTACCCTTGGGCCACATACTTTATTTACCAGAAATGTACCAGTTTTCCGTGTCAGAGGGGGCTGCTGTCGGGACACCAGTTGGACGCGTCATTGCCACAGATGCAGACATGGGAGAGAACACAGACATGAGCTATCTGATCACAGATGGAGGGGAGCTCTTCAAAGTCACTACAGATATGGAGACACAGGAAGCTGTTGTCTCCATCAAGAAGGTAGATTTAAATGCTAAGAATACATTTCTTGTGATACAATTGTTCATACAAACAGACTTTTAAATACAGTCCTATTAAAAAATTAAAGAAAATGCTTTTATGTCAAGGAAAAAGTGAGTATATTTCCCACATTTGCTACATTTATTTTTTCCTTTGAAATAAATAATAAAAGTGTTTCTCATAAATGAAAGAATCCTTTTGTAACATGTGCATAATGGTAAACTCAACAAGAAGACATCCAGCTAGCAACAATACTTTGGTTTGCTGGAATCTCAATAACATGATAATGTAATATGTTAATCTGAAGTGACAATATAACTTAACAGTTAGCCTGTGCTATGGCTATATTACTGCTCTGGAATTCACTAAGCCTTTTCAAAGATATATTCTCAAACAGCACTGGATCTGTGCACATCAACAGTCTGTACAAACCTGTACTTTTGTAATCTTTCTTTGTATTTCTGCTTTTTATGCTAGCCGCTGGACTTTGAGAACAAACGGACACACAATGTTGTTGTGGAGGCGGTTAATAAGCATGTGGACCCTCGTTTTGTGGACCTGGGCTCTTTCCGTGACCAGACCATTGTCCTGGTGAGCGTGTCGGACACAGATGAGCCACCCATCTTTTACCCAGCCGATGGCACTATCATGGAAGTCCAGGAGGACGCCAAAGTAGGAGCCCTAGTTGGAATTGTTACTGCAAGGGATCCAGATGTGAAGAATAAACCTGTCAGGTATGGCAAGATCAATAAAGGTAGTGCTATATTATTGTAGACCTAAAACACACTTAATCACGGCATTCTGCATCAACCGTTTTTACCACTGAAGACACTTTTGAAGTTGAAAAATTTCTTCAAAGAAAAAATGACTTTTAAAGAACTGTAGTTCACTAGGTGATACACATGTAGCTGGTGGGCTTAAAGACAATTTCCTTAACAATTTCTCTTGAAGATGAAAATCCAAACAGCATTGTTACGTTAACAATTGATGACAGTGTACAGAACATTTTTCTCTCAGATCAACATGTGTGATAAAACAATATAATCTAGTAATCTTGTGTTTGAAGGTCTTTGGTTTATATATCCTCGGAGGAGCAATTGCAATGTGAGAAGGGAATGTAGATAAGGTCTAAGATAGTCTCACTGGCAGAGTATACGGCGACACACACAGGGCCTGTGCAAATTACCTTGATTAAAAATGCATGAGGCTCAGAGTTCTAGGTGTAATAAAGTAAAACACAATGGCAGCGCTGTCATTCACCAATGTCTTGGCAGCCGGCAGTCAGAATTATATGTGTGTCTATGAACATAAAAGTAGGCTTTGTGTTTATGCATGTGTCTTCACTAAGCGAGTAAGTTATTGAGACAAAGGGAGATGGAGATGTTAGCGAGGAATTACCTACTGAATAGAGTTACCAAGCTCATGATCTTTGATAGCATATCCTCTATCAACTATATATTGATAGTTATCTATCAACTGTATAATTATACAGAGGAAATGATCAAATGCACGCTCTGTGGAACTGATTGGCAAGAAAGCTTTTGTAGAACAGACATTTATGTTGACTTGGTGAAAACAAGTGGCAGCTGGCAGTGGACAGCAGATATGTTCATGTGCTTATGTATAATTTAAAAGGAATTTATAGTACTTTATGCTTTCACTGCACTATTTGCATACATATATTCTACAACATATATCTGTATAAAAACCATATCCATAAAATTCACACTGTAGTTTAGGGCTGTGCGATATGACCAAAATCTCATATCCCGATATAAGAATTCTATCCTCCCGATAACGATATAAATCACAAAAATGAGTCTAAGGTTTATTTTTTAGCACCTGGCGGTTCTTTTTTACTTCTCATCTGTAAATAATCTGCTCTTTCATGTGATTCATTTTATTTTGAAAAGTCTCAACAGGATCTTGAGCTTTATTGTGAAAGGTTTACATGGAACATAATACAAGTGGACACGCGATGGTGTTACCGTCGTTGTTGCTAACCACAACGCATAAAAACAGGTGCTTGGCGTCCATAGTGTGGTTATATTAAATATAAGAGAAAGAGAGAACTTTAAGAAATTAATATAGCCACTACAGTGACCATCAAAACGATGAAAAAATATTGCCGTAAACAGTTTATTTTGCGCCACCATGAAATGATAAAATGAAACGATAGACGTTTTTATATCGTCATCCGATATATATCGTTATATCGAACAGCCCTACTGTGGTTTTGTGTGAAACTACTTAGAAGTGTGAAAAGCACCTAAATTTTGTGACACAGTGACAAATTACAACATTAAGTAATAACGGCCAATACTATTCAAAACTGTGTGGGAAGCAGGAGTGATTGGATTGTTGTAAATTGCAGTTGCATTGTGTTCCAAACAAAGGAGGTTTGATTGTCATGGTGGGAGAGACTGCACTGGGAGACTCTCCGTTGTAAATCTAATACAGCCAAATATGTGCCCTAAATGGGATGTTACACTAAGATTTAACAGAGCTATGCACATGATGACACCTATATATACAGAACCTATATTGTAGGTATTATGTTTATTTGTGCAATAGTATATCATGTTAGCACAGTATTTTAAAAACTTAGCTTTTTAAACAGTAAAAATATGTTAATGCTCTAGGACTGAATGATCACAATTAGTTTTTTTAATGACATTACATGGCATGAGTGAAATATAAACAGAACATGCTAATATTTATCATTGTTTGTTTGTTTGTTTGTTTTTGAAAACATGTAAAATCAAAACCTGCTATGAATTTCTATGCTTTCTGTAACATGTAACCATGTTACTAGGTATTGCTGGCTGGTTTCCTTGACAAATAGGCTATCATGAGGTGGTTTATGTAGACTTGATTAAGAATGGTGTGTGTGTGCAGAAAAGAATTAAGAATAACAAAATATTTCAGCAGATTTTTGTTGACTCACCAGTCTTTTGAGAGCAGCGCATACCCCAAAGAAGGAAAGATGAATTTGTGTTTTTTTCTAGAGTGCACAATGAAAATTTAATGCATTTTTTTTTCTCTGCATAAGAAAAGAACGAGTCAGTATATAAGGAAATATAGTGAAGGGGCATAGCTCTATTAGGGTCACAGAGCTTGTGGCAAGTCTCCTGTAAATGCTTTCAAAAAATGTTTCAGCGCTTCTCATAACCATGTATAACTACTGCAAAATGTTATCTACAGGTGTCTTTTTTTAGCCTTTAAGACAATCTTAAAGACACAACATAATTAAGTTACTTAAAAAAATGAAATGAATAAATAAATCATTCATTGTAATTATTCATCCATTTTTGTATTGACTTTAACATTTACATCCTAATTTTATTGTTTGTTGTAATAGGTTCTCCATCGATCGGACTACAGACCAGGAGATGATCTTTCATATTGATCCTGACTCTGGTGCCATCACGCTGGGAAAGATTTTGGACAGAGAGACTGCAGGCTGGCACAATATCACTGTGAAGGCTGTAGAAGCAGGTACATTGCTAGCCATTTCAAACTCTGAGTTTAACACTCTGTACAACCTAATACTAGTGTAATATTATTTATCATCAAATATTCTAATTTGCCAACTTTTCTGTCAGTTTATTAGAACACTATAGTTTCAATTGGAAACAAAATGAGTTATTTTACTGATTTATTTTGACTTGTTTATCCTAAAGTGTGACATTAGAAGACCTAATGTTTGAATATTTCAAAGTTACTTGTGAAAGCAACTGTGTGCATTCTAATGAAGCAAAAATTCAGTTTTAGAAAAGTATCAGCTAATGGTGAAGTCAGATTACAAACGAGTTACCAAAAAACAAAGAAAAAAAAAGTTGTGTCCTTAAACTGGATTGTACTGTTTAAAGATTAAAGATGTAATTTGCCTGACATTTCAACTAAAATTAACAAAATGTACATGTGTTTGAGCAATTTACAGCTGAATTTTTAAAACAAAAAAGCAAAATGATTGGCTAGCTTTGTTTACACCCAGTGCCTGCCAATGATTGTACAAGTTAAATTGGCTTTCTAGCATTTGCTGACTCCCAGCAGGGGTTATAAGGGGTGACAGACAACCTCAAACCAATGTCATCATTACTATTTCTTTGGTATATGACTGAATGGCTTTTATGTCTTTTAATATGAGTATAACTCGAGGTTTAACCTAGAAACAGCAGTAATATGAGCAGAACTTTTATGGCATCTTTTTAAGATTTGGTTTATTTGTACAGATTTTACAATTTGCCATAGATCTCATATGCTTTAAAGACTTTCTCTTTGAGAGTAATACTATTTTCAATCGTTTCTTTCTAGACTTCACTGTTTTGACACACACTTTCTTCTACTTTTTTACATTTGAACACAGTGACAGAATATATCGTTTATTTTCATTGACCATAACAAGAAAAACTGTTGGTCGCAGATCAAAGGCAGCTGTGCACTACTCTCGTTTTTCTTCCAGGAGAAAAATATAGTCATCGCTTTCTTGCTTGTCGATGAGTTGATGAATACATTGCTGAAAATGAATGAAGAGCTTACATTTTTTTCATCTCATTGGGTTCTTTTGTCACAGCAAAGAAAATGAAGAATGTAATAACTTGAGGAAGCTGGGGAAGTTATTACTATACCATTAGGAGCAAACTTGAAAAAGGAGGAAGCCTGGTGTTCCTCACTTTTTCAATCTTTTACAGATGAAGTGATTTGAGGGTTGCAGTGAAAGCAGGGGAGATTGCATTCTGCATCTAACTGGTATCCAGCACTACACATAGAAGCGGAAAAAAAATAATACCATAAACAAAGCTGAATTTAAAATGTCTTCATATTTGTTCCTCAATCATATTCCCCTAGACCAGTGGTTCCCAATCTTTTTTTGCTCAGCCCCCCTTTGTTTTACAGGAAAAATGTCCCCCCCCGCACACATCCTCCATCCACACACACCCATATTTTGCTCCATTGCGGTTTCTTTCACACCTCAAACACTTAGTAAACAATTAAGCAAATACAAGTAATCTGCAATAAATGACAGGTAGTAATAAAATAAACTACTAACTCTTTTAGGCTACGTCAACACCTACACGGGTATTTTTGAAAACGCAGCTGTTTCGTCCACACGTAAACGGTGTTTCCCATCACCGAAAACGGTGATTTTTTAAAACTCATTTTTTTTCAGTTTACGTGTGGACGAGGAATACAGAGTTCCTCACGCAACGTCAAAGGTATGTGCCTTTTTTCACGTCACGCTGCGCGCCACGTTTACATGACATGAAATGCAGAATGGCAGATAGAGACGAATGCATATATACTGTTACTGTTAATCTTACTATCCTCAGGTTTTACATGCTTACATATGCACACGCAGTTACTGTCCCTCCATTTAGAAAGGCAGAGGC